GGTGAGAACGACAAACGAATCTCTTCATCATGTACTTTCATTCGAAATGAAGTTCCCCCTAACAATAAACTTTTCTTCTCATCATAAAATGCAGGACTTTAGTTGGCTCAGTCGGGGCTTTCTCTTAAGTCATTAAGCCTTGATCATCAGAGCCTGACATCAGCCTTTTTGCTCGCTCTGATTTCTGATGGTTATTGTGTATAGACGCTGACACACACACACACACACACACGCACATGAGCCAGAGTAGCAGGATCAGTATGAAAGAAAATTAGACAAGCCACTCTATATCAATCTTTTTAGGTGTTTTATTTTATTTTCGCCCAATTGAGTTTATAAAAGAGGTAAGATAGAGCCAGATAGTCTCCTTGCTTTGTTGTCAACGTGATACTTTTACAGGAATGAGATTCCGCTCTGATGATGTCCATCGAATGATGGACGAAAGCTCACCACGTTTTCTCACGAAACGAAGGAGAAGATCTCGTGGACTGCGTCACCCTCAACGTCGTATAAAAACCAAAAGGATACTGTACAACGGAATGCATCCGTCTTCACCTGAAAAGATCGACCAACGAATCTCTTTTTCATGCACTTTCATACGAAATAAAAGTCCCCCCAACAATGGTATGTCAGGAGAATAATCAAAACCAGCTTCTCTTCGTATCGAATAAGTTTTTTCAGCATAATAGCCTCCTCTGATGATGCCCATCCTATGACAGACGAAAGCTTATCACATTTTCACCGGAATCGGAGGGAATTGCTTCGGAAACGGCGTCAACACGACGTCAACAATGCCAATCGACAGTTGTTCGAGAAAAATCTGCTGTCGTCTCCTTGTTGGATCGACCTTCAAATATCTTCATTAAACACAGCAACTCGAATTTGTAGCTGGCTTAACATGTATTGCATTCCATTCTACTCATTTGCACCTATCACTACAGGTTTCGTGCATATTCGTGTGAACACAAAAGCAGATTAGCGCAAAAAATATGCATAACACATGCTTCTAGATTGACATATGACTTGGACCCACCAAATCACTCTATACCTTATCAAAGAGCTTAGATAGAGGGTATTTATACATTTTACAGTATTTAAGTCTAAGCTGGTGTTTAATTGAATATATGAAGACCAAGATGTTGTGGCCTCTGGTGTGGTCGCAGTCAGGACAGAAAGAGGAGTGATAGTGTAACCGTTTTCGGCAGACGGTTTGTCGAGGGATCTTTCTCACAGATAGACAGTGACAGAAAGAGGAGTGATAGTGTAACCGTTTTCGGCAGAACGGTTGTCGAGAGATTGACTTCATAGGGTAAGGAGAAGATAGATAGGCCAGGACAGAAAGAGAAGTGATAGTGTAACCGTTTTTCAGCAGAACGTTTGTCGAGGGATTGGCTTCACTTTCCTGCTCATGGGAATCATGACAACTACTATGACAGACGACTTCGGACTAGGTGCGTTCTACATGGTCGTCAAAGAGACAAGAGGAGTGATAGTGTAACCGTTTTCGGCAGAACGTTTGTCGAGGGATTGACTTCACTTGTCTCTGATGCGTTCGTAGCTTGGTGCGGCGAATGGCAAAACTGACTGATGATGCCGACTACGATGCCGGCGAAACGTTTGAAAATGTATCAAGTCCACGGTCGGATGCTAGGAATCATGACAACTACTATGGCAGACGACTTCGGACTCGGTGCATTCTACATGGTCCCCCTGACAACAAGACTAAGTTGCGACAACGAGGTCAATCCACTTCTAAGCTGGTGTGTTATCTTGACTTGATAGCTTC